GGAGTCCATTGCCGTGCAAGACTTTGGTCAGGTTTGAGCCACCTTTGTCTCAGCGCACCAGCCATGAACGGCTTTTCATGTGCAAGAGAGCCGAGACCTTTTGCGCTCGTATGGAAACATGTGCACGTGTTGGCTGCAGGAGTTGCAAGCATAGAATAGCATAGGCCGTTTTTGTGCATATGTTGATGGCTGGTTCTTATTTAAGGCACCGTGTGGTTGCTTTGGAATTATATCGAAGGCATCGCCAAGAGAATGCAAGCGCGACGAAGCAGCCTGCTGGTCTGCTAGGTGCTGCCGGGCTGAGATAAACCGTGCGGAATAATTTTGGCCGGGGAATCGCGTAGCTGCAAACCACAATGAAGTGAAGTATAACTGTCAGAGTCGCACACATACACACCTATATACATTGAACTTCTCAATGCTACTGTATTATGTAAATAGTACATCTTGGATGAATGTTGGTTTTGTTTTCGTGCTATCTATACATGCAGAGGTTCTTGGTGGGCTGACCCGACATTTCACAGCACCTTTGTCGCCCACAAATTCTGCAAGATTCAACATGTGGCTTGACTTGCAGATCCACAAACCACTAAGTCCACCACATACACGTCAGACACTCCACACCAGACCATCACCTGCAAACACCCGACTGTGGTGAGTCCTTGGCAGGAGCGCGAGACAAGCGGGTTGAGAGGGGCCGGCAGTGCAGAAATGCTCCAGCCCGTTGGGTTCTGAAGCGCACAGTCTTGCTCCAGTGCAAAAGATTGGACAAAGAGGCCACGGTTGATTTGATGGGAACTAGATCTCATTTCTCAGCTTTGGAAATTGCACCTTTTTCTCCGCACAGCTTTGCTCGAAACAACGAGATGGGGCAGTGATGAAAGGTGCGCCGATTTTACTCAGACTATAGGGTTTCGAGCACCTTCATGGAATAGGCCACTGTGGTCCAAGTACACTGGAAGATGGACATGTGTGAAGAAGCCATGACCTCGGGATACCTCCGGTCAGGACTCTGACGCCTCCGCTGGCATGGCATAACTGCTTGTGCTCGGTGTGCGGAGTGGAGCCATGGATGTCGCGTCCAGGGCGCGGAAGGACCGCGGCGCGCGATGTCGCGGCGCGGCGGGCGTCGGACGATCCGGGGGGGGGAGTCGGAGGTCGCGCGCCGATCAGCTGGATCAGTGCGCTGGATAGCTGGATCTGATGCAGAGTATGTTGGGTAGATGAATACCGCAGAAGCCGTAGAAAGCTGTGCTGCTGCTTGGCCTCAGGAGTGGTCGCCTGACCTCATCAAGGCCTTTGTGGAGGCTGGTTCGAAGCATATACGCATACCAATGGAGCCCTGTCGAGCAGTGGCAAGGCCTCCTCGACTCCGTTGTCACTGAAACTAGACACTAGACGAGTAAAAGCAATGTCAGCCACATCCTCTTGGAACACCGCAACTGTTGCGACAAGCATCCTATGTGACCTATTGTTGCGACAAGCTGCGACTTCAGGTCACATAGGTCACTGATTCCGCTCCTATTGTTGTTCTTGTTGTTGTTGTTCTTCTTCTTCTTGTTGTTGTTGCCCAATTCATGCTACTCATCCTTAGTATCTCACACGGACCTGGCATCCACATGTCCACAAGTTTGTTGAAACGTTGATGTTGAGGTGTGAAGGCACCATATGCAAAGAGTTGCTTTCTTCCCACGGTATCGCGGCCCGGCCCCTTCGAAGGCATGGGAAACCAGTGGATATGCATTCAGGGCATCACCGAACCCACGCCCAGCCTTTGGCCTTCGCTCGTGGTGGAAAACAGATATTTGAAGCCAAAGCATCAGTGGGGCCCTCTCCAACCTCCAGAAGCCTGCAAGATGAGGCCAACCGTATACTGACCTTAAGCCAGCCAAACCCCGACTCAAAGATGCATCCCCACTGCCCACAGCGGCTAGGGAAGAGAGGATGTGTGACCTGTGTGTCTCCAGGTCTGCCGCTGCGGTCCTCCTTTGGCTGCATCGGTCGCCCGAACCACATGAACGAAGCAATTTTGGACGTTGCCTTCTTGTTTTTCTTCTTCACGGGATTCCAACGGCAAACCTCGAATTTGTCTGAGGCTTTTGATCCGCACTTGTTTGTGGAGAGACATCTTCGGGACATTTCTGGACGAAGCCTTGGCAACTGAGGCCCGAGCTATCGTGCGTGTTGCCGGGAAGCCTTTGGATGAGCTGAGGGAGTGAACACATGCAAAAGCACTACCCACGCTGTGAGACCAGACATTTTCTGTTCATTATGTGTATATCTCTCTCTCTCTCTCTCTCTTTTAACACACTTACACACACACTATAAACACACACACATATATATATATATATTTATATTGGTTGCACAAACCAAACATCGCCAGCCGCAGAGGAGCCTGAATCAGGTCAACACTTATTATTTATTCAAAGCATATTCATTGGCGCATCGAGTTAAAGAGAGAGAGAGAGAGGACAGAGAGAACCAGTCGATCTCAGCTTAGGCCAAATGCTGGAGAGGCCAGCGAAGGGTTCAGATATCAGGTCATGGCAGCCATGAATTGTCCAAAGCAGTGGTCACATGAATTATAACTATAACACCGTCAGGGAATACCAGAGAAAACGGCAGATGAAGGTCAGTTTGGCAGTTGTTCAAGGTTTCGAAGCCTAGGCGTGGAAATCCACGTGAAAATCCTTTGACAAATTGATTTGATTTCTTACATCTTGGAAGCTGTTGCAATAGATTTTGATGAAGGCCTTCAGCCCGCAATAACTGGAATGCATGCTTCAGTGCCCAGAAGCCTTGTAGAGTATTGTAGTAGAGTGCTCAAGGTTAATATCTAAACTTAAACATGTATCATCGAGCAGGTCGATGGGCGACGCATGGAAGTGAAGTTGCAGCTGCAGGGCCCACAGGGCCGTCCACAGTGACCGATTATGACCGATTGGGGGAAGCACAAGGGATTCAAACGAAAGAGATCGATCGGGACGGAAGCTGGGTAAAACAATCAGACGCCATGGCCGCCATGGCTAAAAAGAGGGCAAAATAGCTATTGATGTTTCTAGGAAAACTGGGCTCAAGGAGACAGTGCAGACAAATGCCAAGGTCAAGAACCAGGGAACCAGAACAAGATCGACCGTACAACATCATGCAACCACATCAAGCTATCACGCTACCAACTTACTTTGGCTCACCAAGGTGCAAGCGTATGGACCAGGCCATCCGTGCGCGCGACGAACTAAGCGCCACCATATGCTTAGATGAAGCCTTGCGGCCGGGGCACCCAATGAAAAGATGTGGAGAATTGAACAATTACCCGTGCCATTTTTGGATTGAGATTTCCAAACCCGCTCATGCCATGCTGAACAGATGACAAGATAACAAGGTTGCTAGCCGTGCAGTGCATCGATTGACTTTTGTTCGTTTTCTTCTCTCAGCCCGTGGCGGGGACATGCTTCTCCTCCCCCAAAACGGAAACGCTCCGGGTTTCCACCGTGCTCTCTCCGCGTGCCTCTCGGTGCTCGGTGCTTTCTCCGCGGTGTTCGCCCAGGCTTTGGATCGACTTGGAAGCTGCCACCTTCTCGCCCTTGATCGACCTGGTGCCGGGATTCGACGGACCCGAGGATTCGTACCGACCGGTGTCACGGCGGACTCAACACGACCCTTGGTCGATGTGCCAAAATTAGGCAAAGCATCCAGGAACAAGTGCATCGCTTCTAGTAACAAGTGCCCTAGTAGTAGTAACAAGAAGCTACTAGTAACAAGTGCATCGCTTCTAGTAACAAGTGCCTTACTAGTAGTAACAAGAAGCTACTAGTTTGTAGATCTCAGAACTCAGTTGAGCATGTGGGCTAGCTGTGGTCCGGCGCAACATGTTGCAACGCTTTCGACAGTGCGCTGGAGCACTGTTGTTGGCAAGAACGTCGGTTACGGACCCGTCTGGTAGGAAGTGGGAAGTGGGAAGCCAGACTCACTTCTTGTGAGGGTACCTTTCACATACTTTCACACATATAGTTGCACCTGCCTGGCCTATACCTTTTCATCCAACGCTAGGCAGCGCAGGAGGGCGATCTCCAGCGTGCGACTCTCGGACATGTCCACGCGGTCGGTAAACAGTAAAATCAAATAAACTTAATTACATATACAGCACTTGTTAAATGACAACACGTTTGGAAAGGGCTTCGATATCTCCTAATTACTTACTCCTTGCGGAAGCGGAGCTGGGATGGTAATGGTAGCTGGCTGGTTTCTTGACGTTGTGGAAGCTGCCCGAGGAAGGACAACAAGTAGAACGACTTTTTTCTTTTTTCTATGTCGAGGCCCTGTTGGCCTGAAGCAATTGCTTTGTCGCACCCTTAGGTGCAGAGCAGTGGTTTGAGAATGCCAGGGAGCCCCAGCAGTTTTCAGACTCACCGATGACACGGAACTTCTGGAAGCTCCTGACACTAACATGCTACAGTCTGTTGCAGCAGTTCCACATCCACAGCCTCGGAAATGCTTCAGTCCCAAGCTCTCCTGGCTGAGCGAAAAGGGGATAGACGAGAGGCACTGACAGGTGCCAGCGGTGAACTGGCGTCGCCAGGCGCAGCTCTTCTCCGTGAAGCCTTGCTCTTAAAGTGCTGATGCCATTTGTTGTGTTTGCTGGTGGGGATTCAGTCCAGAAACTGCACCTTGAAGTTTTCTGCCATACTCAAGTCATTGGTCTTGCTGCATGAAACTGGGAGGGGAGACTGTTTGCAAGCTAGCTCACTGTGCATGTTGCCTCAGTGTTGGGGGGGCATTTCAGTGTTGGGTGCCGGTCTTTTTCCTTGGGAACGCCTCTCCCCATGGCAGTATTTCGTGGTGCTCACCGAGGCTGGACGACGTGGAGTTCAACAGTCTAGTGACCGCAGCGGCCAATCAAGGCGACCGCGGGCCATTCATGTCCGAAGAATCAACGCCACACTGGTGACGACGCGTGTCCGTGTGTGAACCAGTGGACGGGATGAAGTTTTTACACAACATGTGGGGAAAAGAAACACTCTCTTTGGCAAAAGGAACCTGCGACGCGCTGAGGAAAGAGTGACTGAGTGGGTCTATGTGGTTTGACGTTTGGCTCAGGCAACCTCTCTGCGGCAGAAGCCTGGTATGACAAGGTGCGACCGGACCCGCGAAGCCAAACGTGGACGGAGAAGCTGAACGTGGCGAGAGGTGCCCCAGCAACAGCTTGAACAGATGGTTCATAGCTTCTTGTTACTAGTCGTAAAAATGCTCCGTTCGTAGCGATGCCAGGAGCCCCGTTCGTAGCGTCCTTGCTCCTAGTAAGGCCAGGAGCCCCTAGTAGCTTCTTATCCCTTAAGGCAGCAATGCATTTCGGCAGTTCTGCTGTACTGTAGTATTTGTAATGTTCACTCCAACAATTGGGATCGACTCACCTAAAACCGTGAGTTGAAAGTTCTTCAAATAGCAAGTAGCTTTGGATTTGGCCCTCACTGCCCACCTGCACAAGGGTAGGTACCCATATCTAATCCCGGCTGCGAGGGAACAGCAGTGTTGATGAAAGCTTGGGAACAAAGCAGAATTTTAAGGCAGCTATTGCACTGGATGTGCGTTTCGATTGGAATGGGGACCGGTCTTTGAGATTTCCCATGGCTTGAGGTAACATTTGGAGAAACTCTTTTTGCAGGACTCATCTAGCCACGAATTATAGGCCCTGCATATGTGTGGGGAGCACATCCAACGCCGATGCTTCCAGCCGGGTTGAGAGCGGCTTCACACGAGGCAGTCGCCGCCGGGATCCAGCCTGATGCGCTGGAGCCCAGCCATGTCAGCTTTGGTAGGGAACTGGGTCAGAGACGAGCTTTTGTGGTGGGAATCAGGGTGTACATTTTTGTTTGACCAAGGACGCTACTAGGGGCTCCTGGCATCGCTACTAGGAGCAGGGACGCTATTAGTAAGGTGCATTTATTAGGTGTTATTCCTTCAGGCTCGCCAGGTGTGGACATGGGTTGTGTTGAAATGAACATCCAACAAACTCCGGCTTATCTATCGGCCCAGTCTGTAGAAAGGTGTGGTGTGAATAGTCTTCTCACACACCGCAAGTTGGCAAAGCTTCAATTGCGCCAACATGTTTTGAACTTCTTAAGTCTTAATATACTCCTGCAGGCACTCGGCGAGGTGCAATGAATCAAATCACATCCATATTGCAGGTGGAGGCTTGTGCCACTGTTCCCTCGGTGATGAGTGCTTTGGATTCTGTTCACTACCATCGCCAGCGTGCTGGACCAACTCTACACGTTGATCGAGGGCCTTTGTGGTTGTGAGCCTTGCACAGGTTGCCGCCTTGTTGGTGCAAGACCTTTCCGGTTCTGTAGCTTTTGGCGTGTGATATGATGAAAAGATTACACTGGTCTTCCAGACACCTCTAGCTTCAACATCCACCACATTCCTGCAAGCCTTTAGACACCTCCCCAAACTCTGTCAGAAGGGTTTGGAACACTACATGCCTTCCTCTACGGCACCAGGAGGAGGCTATCTTTTTTACCACATCAACCTGTTTGACAGACCCGTCTCTGTCCGTTGTTTGGGTCGCCGAGGCGGTGACTCTGACGGCGTTGATGCGGGCGGCGGCGGCCGTCAAGGACCGTTCACGTGCCAAGGAGTGGTATCGTGCCTGGGATGAGTCGACGGTGGAGTCGTGCGCCGGGCGGGATAGGACCGCAGGGCGCGTGGTGTCGTGCGGGATTGGATCGCAGTTGGGAGAGAGAGGTTACGGCCTTGCTAGCTGTGAGAGAAGATGTATACAAATGGATTTTGCATTCGAAGTCCTGTGTGATGCAGCTCATCCATGATTTCTTGCAGACATTGCGACTTGACTATACGTCAACAATTGAAAGTGCCTATATAATTGAATAGGGCCAATAAGCGTGGCCCACAAAGAATTCTGCCATAAGCTGCTGTCTCGAAAAGGATCCCTTCAGGCCATACCCTGACAAGCAAATGTTGTGTCTCAGGTGCCGCCCCTTCCCTTCGAGTCGCTCCGAACGAGGTGCGCTCGCTCCGTACAGGGATGATGAAGTACAGCGTTCCATTTCCACCTCTACTTCATTGTACCTCCCCCCAAGAGATGCCTTGAGACTGCTCCTCATGTGTCGGGAAATGGCCGGAAAGAGGCCAGAAATGGCACAAGAGAAGGTGTCTCGAGAAGTCAGGAGAGGTGTGTGACACATGGCAGACATATATAGCTTATAGCTTGGTACATATGCCATATGCCCTAGGCGCTCGCAGTGATTTTGCGATTGAAAGTTGAAAGCCATTGAAAGTTGAGCTTGGTGCACTTGTGCGATCGCTTGTCACACCTACTACAGTACTACAGCCAGCTGCGCTCGTGAGTGCAACAGCTGCTCCATGTTCTGCTGCTTCGTAGGTCATGCACTCCTGCCTCCTCCATGCGCTGCGGGAGAATGCCACGGACAGCCGCAGTGGGACAGCCATTGGCCGAAAGCCCAACAAATCGGTTGCCATAGCGTCCTTGCTCCTAGTAGCGATGCCAGGAGCCCCTTGTAGCTTCTTGCTCCTAGTAGAAAGGCCAGGAGCCCCTAGTAGCGTTCTTGTTACTAGTAGCGATGCCCTTTGTTTCTAGTAGCTTACTTGTTCCTAGTAGTAATGCCCGGAGCTACTAGTAGCGTCTAGCCTAGCTACTAGTAAGCAATAACATTCCCACACTACACTAAACCATACAGAACCATTTTTTTGCACTCCTCTACCTCCTCCTTCGCAGGAGGTCGAGGAGTGCTTCGCAGCTGGGCGTCTACAGCCCAATGCCCGGGCACCAGCAGATCGGACGATCTGAAGAACCGTCCATGTTGGGCTCGTGTTGGGCTTGGAGGTAACCAGTGTATGTTGGGTGAGCTATGTTTTGCACAATCATGATTTACCAAAGGAACCCCAACGACCCCAAGGTATATTTCTTACTCAACTCAACATACGGATACATATGCAATACAACATACAATTCCAAGCCACTGACACATCATTTTTGATTTTGGATTCATGAGTGGAAAGGTACAGAAATGAATGCCTGTTCAAGCGTCACAGACACAATGTTATATTTTAAGGTGAGCCATGCATGAGATGATCGACCCCCCCCATATCCTGCAAACAACTCAGGGTTCTCGTACAAGTCCTGAATCGGTTATTTTTCTTTGTTGTTATTGTGCCATACACACGGACCGCAAAGTTTATTTTAGGAACCCTGGGCCCTTTGCTTTCCCTTTTTTTCCGGAAAATCCTGTGGAATGGGTCCCTCCACTCCCACCAGCCCCAAAGTAGTTTCTCGAAGCATTCTACTTGCCTGGAATTTTGCTGGACACTTCTCCACCCCCCACCTCCAAAATAAATCAAAACAAGACAGGCTGACAGGGAGAGAGAGAGAGAGATTTCTTGAGACCTGCTAAATTCCTGGGGTTTCATGCAACCCACCAAAATAGGCTTGGCTTTATGTTACTGTATAGAATCATGAATCTTGTTGTTTTCTTTGTTGTGTTGCTTTACTCATTTCACAATTTGCCCGCGCTCAATACTACCAACATACCGTTTTGGATACATCCTACCCCAGTGTTTACTGTCCAAAAATTAGAGAACTCTATATACTACATATATCTACATATTTTCGCTGCAATCTGAAGCGCAACATTCTTCACAAATTGGTGCCGAGGGAATTGCCAAAAGGATCCAAGAACAATGTCAGTGGTTTGCGCATTGCTGTAGGGAAGATATAGTTCGAGCAGGAGTTTGATTCTATATACTGGAGGGTTGATAGAACAGCCCCATCGAAAATTGGTATTCCATTTTATTATTAAGAAGCATTTGTGAATCGATATGCCAATGTGCTTTCAACTATATATATATAACTACGTGACAGAACCTGTTCTGGGCTAAGGGTCCATACGTTCAAGACAACCCCACACGAAGATCATCGTCAGCGCAAAGGCTGTAATGTACAACACGATCATTGATGCTATGGCCAGGACCCTTAGTGCTTCTTGACTGTGTGTGATCTTGCTGGTTGATGTTCACCGTCAGCGGTCACTGCTGTTTTGAAGTATAGTATTACGGCATCCCTCAAGTGCTTTGCCACTCGCGAACATCCACCACTCAAGACGCATCCTGAGCATGGTGTGCCCACATCTCAATGCTGTCAAGTCCTCAGTTGACAGCTGAATCATCTATCATTGTTTATCATGTTCTATCATCATATCGTCGGAATCCTAAAGTGCAGAAGGGACCTGAGACCCCCACCAAGCACTCAGCCGTTACTGAGGCACGAGCAGGTGAAATGAAGTCGGCCGAAGAATACTTCCAGCATGATCCTTGGACGGAACTTCCAACCGCATCTGGCGAAGGCAACCCAGTAAAGCAAACTGCAACCCATATAGTTGTGCCAAATCCCGGAGAAGGCCTAGGACATAGAACTGGCCTGCAAATTCAGTTCAAAAGCCACGCTGTGCAAGCATGAGATGTTCCTAGACTGTGTGGCGACCTGAATGCTTTCGGTATACAAGGGTGACACTCCATGCACGTTCTTGGTTTCGTCAACCAGCAGCTTTGCATGAAGCTCCAGTGCGTGAATTCTACATCCTGCTCATATGGCTGAGCAAGTGCATGCCTGCCGTGGCAGGTCTTTTGTGCCTGTCTAAGTGTACTTAGAGAGTGTAAAACGACAAGCCAAGACTACTGACATGCTTGCAGAATGCGTCGGAAATCACACGTTCCCAGTGTGTTTACTGTAATTATCAGAGTTGCCAACATCTAGAAGGCACCTCCCTTTTGAAGCTTTAAACATTTAATACAGAATGACTTGAACAGGTCAGACCAAAAAGAGGCCAGGAGTGGGAATGCTTGGGAAGGAATCTTTGGGCTTTCTCCTGCAACATACATGCCAAATCATGCCAACCACCGCTAGCACATTGGTGACCCTTTCAACCACTGCGTCGCCATGGACGACGAGAAGGATGCACTCGAGGCCATTTACCAAGAAGACTTCGAGGCGACAGAGGGTGCTTGGCGGATCCGCCTTCCAGACTATGGCTGTACACTGAAAGTTCAGCTGGATGCGCAATACCCCGAGAAGGTGGGTGAGGAGGGATGAGGAGGGTGTTTTTCTTTTTTTTGGCGAGGTGGAGCACTTCTAGCATGTGATCCAAGATCAGGGGAAAGATGAATGGTCAACATCGACCAATACCAATCTTTGATCTAACAGGGCCTGTTCATACATTCCTGACATCTCACGTTCTAAACCTGGACCGGGTGGGGCACAGCTCCCGGGACGGTGGGCGTCCCTTTCGTCCCACCGACCTGCCGGCGAGGCGCCTCCGGTGCCGGCGCTGGAGTTCGAGCCCTGGCCGGCGGGGGGCGATGCTTTTGCGAAGCGCATGGAAGAGGAGCTGTTGAAGCTTTGGTCACCAGGTGGGGTGCGGAGGACGAACCCGGGTCGAAGACGGGAAACGCGGACCGGCCGAGAAGGGAGGATGACGGCTTTGCGGGCGCACGATGTTTTCTCATCGGGAACCTGTGTGGAGGAGGGGCTTGGGCGAACGAGAGACTTTGGTGGTGATTTGCTTGGGTGGGAGTGGTGGTTGGGCCAACTGAAGCGGTTCTCTTTGGAGTTTTTTTGTATGTTTCCAGTCGTTTTCATCGAAGCAACTGGGCCCAGAGATTGGACCATGGTGTTTCCAGATGTTTCCAGTCGTCTTGGTTTGCACACGACCTTCCCCCCCAAATCTGATAACCAGCTTAACCGTATCAACCAGAAATTGTACACGTTTGTAATTAAAAAGATGTGCATTTTTGATTTTGGTGTAACAATTTTTATATTGAGTATGTATTAGGTAAAACATGTATTGAGTAATAGCATGTAATACATGTAATTTTGTTTTAGTTGGAACTTCCACCCTACACACTTCCCACGACCATGCGACCGTTCGAGGTGAAAGCTGTCTCTACCAATGGGTCGAGCACCTCCGTGAGGCCCTTGACCAGACCGGTCCGGCCGACGCCGCTCCGGCCGGCGCCGCTCCGGCCGACGCCGGTCCGGTGTCCGCGGTCGCGGCGCAGCGCGTGCCGCTGACGGCCGAGTTGCGGGCCACAGCGACCCGGCGAATGGGGCGAATGGGGAGGCACCTTGTGAACTTGTCACTGATGACCTGCCATGGTGTTCTTTGAACATCTTTCCAAGGGATTCTTTGCGGATGTGTGTGTGTGTGTGTGGAAGTCGTTGGGTGTGAAGCAGCTAGCACGCGAGGCGAAAGTTTCTGCGCACCGAGGTGGGACCCTCCTTGACGAAGGCCGGCTTTACGGAGTGGAGCGAGGGCCTCTTTGCCGAGAGCGAGAAAGGGGTAACGCTGGAGCTGCGGGAGGAGCTGAACATCACAGTGGATGGCACCATGGCGTTTGGCGTTCGGGGGTGAAGATGATGGATTACCCCGTGGAGAACTAACATTGGACCCGGAAAACCACTGGTTTGCAAGAGGAAAACAGTTCAGGGTGCCATTCTCAGGTTCCATGTTTGTTTTCGGGAGTGTAGATGGATGGGAGCGGGTGTGGGGGTGTTTGCTCCAGTGGTTGGGTTGGGTGGTTTGGTTTCTGATGGTTTTTTGGTCGGAAGATTGCCCGTGCAATCCTGTGCGCAATGAGATCGCATGCTAGATTGTCCAACCTTGCTATGCAGTTGGTTGAGTCTGCGCGCTATTACCACGTTTTTGCAATTTTATGTGACTAAGTCATGACCAAGTCTAAAAACAAAATTGGTTTGGAAACCTAAGCTTGCTCAGCATGCTCAGCCAAATTATCACTTTTGCTATTCTTACATGTTTGTGCCAACCTTTAGGTTTGCGCAACACATTTTATATTACTTTTCTGACAGTCATTTTTGTCACGGTCACTTTGAAGTCATGACTTCCAGACCTATTTGACACAACTTTTCATAGAATGACCTTTCAAAACATTTTAAGGCTTGACCCAACGACTTGAAACTCCTTTGACCTATTATAACTCATTTTATATTGACAAGTTTTAGATCAAACGAGTGTGGTCGACCTTTATTCTTGGTAGCAACGGGGATGTAAAAAAACACATAATATTCAATATTGTTGATATTGTGACATACATCGTGACATATAACACAACAGTAAATTTACTTATAACACACACACACATTCCTTTCCATACCAATCCGCCTTTGAAGTCCTTCTGCGGACAGCCAGGTGTTGATGCAGAGGACCTCATGGACTGGGCCAGCATGCAGCTGTCTGAGCCAGAGCTCTTTGGTCTTCGCTTGTTGGAGTGGGTCACTGCCCAACGCTCCCCTGAGCCCGGCTTCTTGGAGGAAGAGCCAGTTGAGGGCGGACCGGACTTCCTGCCCAGCCCCGAGGAGACGGGAACCAAACGGGCAAGGTGCGATCTGAGGATCGTTTGGCCGACCATGCGAGACCAAAGGGGAGCAAACCAAGAAAGAGAGATATAGCACATCACCAGAATACGATTCATGATATTTCATATGCAAGGCTGACATGACCCTGCATGACGATCTAGCTCCTTTGCATGATGGTCAGTCCACGGACGTTGGGCACTTTCCGCTTGGCCGCCAGAAGCACCCAGATTGAAGCGTGGGACAGTTCTTTGGAGAAAACCTCACCCGCTGGAGCCCAGCACATCCCAAACTCACCAGGGGAAAATAGCTCGGTCGTTGGACGGCCGGGTGGAACCAGGAGCTGGGCGTGAAGCGCGAAAGGCCCTTGCTGGTCTACACCTGGGGCAAGGCCTTACGCAAGTCGGCGCCGGGAGATAGCGAACACAACTTCAATGCAGGGATCCTGAATGGTCGCGGTGGAGGAGCTGACCTGAAGTCCATGAATGGCGCTTGGGCGATCTATGAGTTATATATAGATTAATGTTATTGCACAGGATGTGAAACAGATAGGTGAAATGTATAGGATGAATTCAGATGGAAATATAGATTAATAGAGTCCAGCGTTGGCACCATGCGTCACAAGTGTTGGAGAGTTGGCGTTGGTAAAGTCAAAGGTGTTCTTCTCCTGCTACAGAGTCAACTACTCAATCTATTTTCTGTTGGGGATGCTAATCAGAAAAGATCAGGGAAGCCAACGTGTGTGGGTGGAGCATCGTGTACTCAAGGGGGCTTTGTCAAGTTGAGCGACCCCCTTCGGGAAGACTACTTGAGTTATTCCTCCTAAGAACGAATCTGATTCCTCTTTAGTGTGCTGGAGGCCGTCGCTCTTTTTGTTGGAGGCCATAGGTTTTAGGCCATCGCTCTTAAGTTGGAGGCCACTGCTTCTAGGTTGGAGGCCATCACACTTCAGGGATCTTCAGGGTGTTTGTCCAGCACCGAAGCTCCTCCGTAAGGTTTGTGGGACGAAGTGCAGAGCAACGTGGCCTCCTGCGGTTTGTTCCCTCGGTGGATCTCCATGGTTTGCGCCAAGGTGGAGCATTCGGAGCCATGGCTGCCGCACAGTTGGAGCGGTTTGAGGCACCTTGAAGGAACACCACCACTTACATATACCTACCCAAAAGATGTTTTTGGGGTTTGATCACTCACAAGGACATGAAATGTTCATTCCTAGTGCTTTGGATCATTTGCCCTCCTGTAGGCAGCTAGAAACCGGCTTTGTCGTAAAGCTTGCTTCTATTTCGGTACTGACCAGTGTTTGAGTGTGATTGACAGGGCGGTGCACCGGTGCAGTGTTTTGCAAGTTATTCCATTTCAATCCTAGCCGCGACCAGACTGACCAGCCGCACAAATCCAAATAGTCAGACGGACCAAGGGAACTTCCTAAGTCTCTCGTGGGTGGGTTGCACGATTCGGGACTGAAGGAGGATATCCACTCAAGATCTCCACAGTGATGTCATGATGTCAGCTTGGTTTTGCTCAGGATCTCAGCTGTATCTCGATCAACTGCACCAAAGGCCGCCACCGTTCAGTGGCAGCTGCTGAAATTCTCAAGAAGACCTACTACCCCAATGCGACGGTAAAGCACTTGACCATCTACTAGTAGAAGAGAAGTGACGAGAAAAGGTGCGATTGAACATTGCACAATGGCCATCGCATGTTTTCGACATGGGTAGCCTTGTTTCCGCAATCTGATTGCAATGTAATTATATATACCCGTGCACCTGACAAGCATGCAGCAGCTCATTGAACAACTTCGCTGCTGTGCCAAGGCGTCTTTGCACGGACGCCCAGTGCTTCAGAAGCTGATTTGTTGTGGTTCCTCTCCTCTTCAGGGGCCTTTTGGGCCTATTCTCCTGGAAACAACCGCATCATTCCTCGACTCAAACCCCTGCCCTCCGGTGCTTCCACACGACTTCAGACGGTGAGGCGGCGAGTTCCGCCCCGATGCAGCCACCTTTGGGGCCCTGATCAACGGGGCCGCAGAGCCAGGATGCTCAGGTTGGACAGGTTGGCGCGAACAGAAGAGAAACGGAGTGAGCTGGAGTGGTCCGAGTGTCATTTCCGACGTCAGATTCGGAAATGGTATGTTGAAATTGGACAGCTTTGGGGATTCTGGGTGGAAACATTGAAGTCGGGAATTGTAGGGAAGAGAGAGTTTGGACCATTCAAGGTGCTCATGACACTAAGCCGTTTGATGTCCTGCTCAGCATGCATTTGCTAGAGCAAATCTCGAAGAGGAGGCTCAGATCTTTTGGAATCCGCAAACCCAGCTATTGGGCCACGAGGCAACGTGTACGATACTCATAGAAGATTGATAAAGCATCAAGGAAAAAAAGGGCACCGACAAGCCGAGCGACGTGCGTTCATAGTCGCCACATATATGATGGCCATGAACAGCAGCACCAACCACCTCTCCTTCATAATCTTCATCTTCATATCTAGCATGACCTGCAGAATTCCTTGGCCACCTTGACCGAGGCAGGGAGATGCAGCTTGGCAAGGAATCCTGTGGAATTGAGTTTTGACTGGAGCTTTGTCGTCAAGTTGCTTGGCTCCTCTGGGGTTCTTCCTGCCACGGATATCTATTCCAGGCCCACCACTAGCCATAGGTCTATATAGGTCTCAATAACAACTCCTCCAAACAGGAGCAATAGGTGATTTGAAGGACTTCCACCACCGTTTCACCACCGTGTCACCGCCCCAGGTGGACGGAGCCAAGGAGTGGATGAAGTCCTCCTGGCCCGTTGGAGACCGGCGATGGAACGTGAAGAGCATCGAGTCACCCGGCCCTGGCGAAGTCTAACAAGACAAGTTTGGACACTTCCATCCGGATCATTCACTTCAGAAACCGAAGGATGGCAGTGGTGGACTTTGGGACGCACATGCCTTTTTCCGTGCCAGGAAGATGGAGAACTTTGGGGTCAGGGCCTCAACCGGCCTCAACCACTGTGGTTTCTGGTCCTGTGAGAATCAGATTTGGCTGGTCCAATGGTTTTTGCAACTTGAGAATAGTTGTGGATAGTTCAATATGTTCCATGCTATGTGCTATTGATATGTATCAAGGCGTCTCTATTTTGCAGGAGATTGAATCGAAGCGGTGCAGCACCTTGAACGAAGACCTTTCACTCGCACCGATTCACTCACCTTGGCCGTCACAACGATGTAGCCCTTGCACGTCTCACTCGCGTGGACGGCAAGAGCCACTGGACGCCCGAGCGAGAGCCAATATGCCTGTGGCCTGTGTTATTTGTTGGGAATGTCTTGCTTTGTGTTCAGATTCGCCGCAATATGGTCAGCTGGAACGTGAAGAACTTAGTGGTTGGTTCCGCTTTGATGCAGAAAGCACTCCGTCCAAGATTTGTAAAAACAACTTGTGGATGCACCTTGTGTTCGTGTCATTGCGTTGGGCAAGAAAAGGCTCAGGCGCATCTCCTTCCCAATTGCATCCAATTGCAGATTTAACAATGTTTGAGGGGCTCGCACATGTGATAATTGAAAAACATGTTTTCGGGAACTGGGAGGGCAAACACTTGAACATCTCTAAACAAAAACTCTTGGTATGCTGTGACGTGTCGCCATTTCTATGGTTCTCTTTGCCCACTCGTTAACACCAAGGCTTTGTTCAAAGCCTTTCGACACCGGCCGGGCTCCGAAGCTGAGGAGAGTGGCGCAGCTAGGTGCCTAAAATAGGTTAAACAAGGACCAAGGAGATGAACACATGTGCATGGTATGCTGCCATCAGTGATTCATACAAATATACAGTATGACAAAGTGCCTTACGAGAAAAGACATTTACTGTATGACCTGAGAGATCCTCATCAGAGGATGGGGTCAAGTTTGACCAGTCCATCAAGCACACCGGAATCTGTGTGCCCAGGAGCTTTTCGAAGAGATGGTTGGGCTCCAAATACTCGTGGCAGATGCATCATCACTTTCCAAGAGCAGCTCATGCTCCCATTACATACTTCTGTGCAGTCACGAAGGCCAGTGCTGAAGGCTGTGCATCAATGCAAGAAGCCACAGTGCTTGAGATTTGTATACCAAGATTCACCTCCAAAACCATCTCCAAGAGGCCCTGAAGCTGGTAGAGCTCTCATCCGGGACTGGGTAAGGCTCCAAGTTGGGATGGGCTCCGAGGTGCAGCAACGCCACGCACCCGACGCAGTGACGTTGCCACTGGGCTTTCAACGCGTCCCAGGTGTTCCGGTCTTTGAAGATTGTTGTTTTTGGAGGTCGAAACAAGCCAAGATCTTTTCAAAAGGAGCAAATGCCCAATGGTGCTATACTATATAGATGTACATAGGATAAGTTATATAGTAGTTGTTTCCTTTTGCCTTGATCCTTGCTCATGAGCACAGAAGTCACTTCGGAAGACCGTGAGAAGACCCCAGCCCCGCCAAAACAACACCAGACTTCGCGTCGTGAAGACCGTCATCGCTCAGGATCTCGCTCATCGGCTTTCTTGGGAAGCCACGCGTTTGGCCAACTCAGGATCTCGCACCGTTCGGCCGTCGGTGACCGATCCAGTGAGAGGCACGGAGTCGAAATAGTTTGGCGAATTGTTGAGACCATGGACCACATCAGGTCAGATATCCCTGTATCCTGGCATCTTGCTCGGTGTCTTTTTCTCTAAGACTCGACGTATACAGAGTCTTCCACTTCGGAATCCACCCGAGATCCTCGCAGCCGCCGAGAAATGAGGTGCGAGGGCTGTGTTCAGAGCTCAAGGTGGACTACGCTTGGGCCTCGGAGGGCTCCATCAAGGCCATTGTCACCAAAGCTCATGAATGCCATCGCTCCCATCATCCAATGCAGCTTGACAGTTCCTCAGTTGGTCCATGTCTTTCCACACAAGATAGTTGAGCACAACAAAAAAACGGTATGAGTATGACTATGATTTGTTCATGTTTCCATGTCGCCACCAAGGATCGCATCATTCGTGAACCAGTGGTGAATCGCGCGGTCAAACGTGCAGATCCCCACTTCCAGCTGCCACGGTCTTAGTCTTTCAGCTCCTTTCTGATTGTTTTGTTCTGATGTTGCAGATCTTTTGATTTGTTTTTTAGTTGCACTTCCCGCTTTAAAGTTGTCAATTTGTTGGTTCGCAGAGTTGGGATGTCGCAACCGATGAATCGATGAACGAATTGAGTACGGAAGTACAAAAAGAACTTGTGGTTACAGCTCCTAGGGTCCTAGAGAACACGTTGAAACGTTACATGATCTATCCAAAAAATCAACCGCGGCCCTAGGATTCATAGTTTTGCAGAAGAGCAATCCACACACCTCCCGGCATTGCTTCGCGAAGATCTTCCCACGATGTGCTTTTCCATTTGCCGCACGAATCCGCTCGCGTTGCTTGCCTCTGCCGTGACGTGTCTTCCCTTGGGACACCGGGCAGTCCCAGGTCGGAACAATACCGCCGCATGAGCCGCTTCTCCCTGCGCGCCCAACGCGCGCTGTTTCGTGGCCCAGATGGGTAAGCAATTCGGAAGGAAATTCTGGCGGCCTTCTTGTCAAGGTGAGACTTCATTGGAGTTCAAGACATCTATCACTGAACAACAACACGTATAAAACATTACAACACAACAGCAACTTGGCATTGTCATTTTGTGACAGCTTTGTGAATTCGACACTTAGAAACTGTAGTTATGCAAGAGCGTGCCTTTCGGCGGACAATTTGTGTGACATCATGTGAAATCCACCTCGCCTCGGTTGACCAGTGGTCGGGTGTATAAAGTTGTATTGAAGACTGGACTGGTTATATAGATGTTTTGTTAGGTAGGCCAAGGTCTTGGTCAAAACACGCATTTTCGACTCTTCTACTGCAAAACACAAATGTTCTGCACCCAGAAATGTACCATTGACGGTTTTTCTATGGTTTGTCTATAAGCTCGTTTACGGTTCTTGAGCTGGGCCTGAGGCAAGGAATGACAGGTGAGAAAATATTTATTGTTTTGCAAGAAGTCAAATCATTGGTTGGAGCGGCTTTCCTCTTCCCAAAGAGGCTATGTCGAATCTTTGGCCTACATATGCCTACATTGGGTGATTCTGACTCCATATGCGCTAGGCCCTAAGCTTCATCGACTCTTCAATAGCCTTCCCGGAAACATCCGGAAACCATGAGTCTGTGTTTCGGTGGCCGAGGGGTGCGACTGGTACAGATCAAGCTGAGACATGCAGATGACGAGATTCTGACCTAGGCAGGTCTGAGAATGAAGATGAACCCCAACACACTATATGAGCTTCATTTCTCACATGACGCATATTGTTCGCAGAAGAAGGTTCTAATATATTTCAGTATCTTGGTGACTCCCGCTGCGCCCAAGAGAAGTTTATGATCGGAATAGGCGTTGCTTGGCTTGACATGACTAGCATGCTCTGTATGTTTTTCATTGAGCGGCGACCTGCAAGGCCGCCTGCTGACTGACTCGCTTTGACCGTTCTGGATCCATTGAAGGTCCTTCAGGAAAGGAGGACCATCCAAGACTTCAAGAGGGCCGCATGGAGTTGAGTTGAACACGAGGGAACGCATGCAATCAACTCCTGAAACATGGCGGACATGGGCAGTGGCAGCTCTGATAAGAAGCGCTCGCAGGAACAAAACGCGCGTGGATGGAGATGTGCAGAAGTTGGTAATTCATGTTCATTACTAAATCATACTAAATCACTGCATCTTTATGTCGGTGGCCTTCCATCAAACAACATTGTCAAGATGGCGTGGTGCTGTTATGCGTGCTTCAAGAATTGTCCTGTTGCACTAGGGCCTTAGGTGGTGGCCAACGCTTTGATTTCCCACATGTGTTTGACAATGCCCAACGACCGCCCGTCCTGCCACCGGGCTCAAACTGTTTCTCGAATGAGAAAGGGCTCCTGTCTGCTCCTCAACTTCCGTCCTTTGGTTGGATGCCGTGATGCCTTCTACAAGTATATAATTGGCAACTAGTTTGGCAACTATATTGCCATTTAGTCCTTCCGGCGGCTTAAATGAACATTGCCATATCATCATATGGTTGCATACTTTCAAGAACGGCTGTTGTGAACCACCGGACATGTATGGAGAACGAAAACCTGTTGGTTCTGCAACCATATCCGGCAATTTGATATCATGTTTTAGATATCTTGGTAAGACTACACACACGCACACGCACGCGCGTATATGTATGCACAGACAGTATCTTACAGTATATAATGTAGACGCTCCAGTAACATCGACATATTAGACTTCTTTCAATCAGAGGTGCAGCACTTGGGGACCCTTTTTTGAGGCCATCACTTCTAGGTTGGAGGCCATCGCTGTTACTGGACGTTGCACTTGGGGAATCCTTTGAGAGCTGTCGTCTCCAAGGCTTCGTCGCCCCATTCCTCGGGCCTTTTCGGGGGGATGGCCGACCGGGGCAGGGCCATGGGCCTTAGCGGTGGGGGGGCGGTGTCCTCCAGTGAGCATCCTTTCAAGCGATTTATCGACGCGTCCATCGATTTCGTTGATTTGTTATTTACTGCATGTACGTATTGCAGTTGGGTTGCCACGTCAGGAACTTATGAGGATGACAGTCTCACAAAAAGAAATACTTAATTTACATCTTAATCTTAATTATACTTAGAACTGGGAAGGATACTCTTTGCACAGATGCGAGACGGTGGAGGTGTACACCTCTTAGCGGCATCTTCATCCACACTGGAGTGACCTGTGGCCGTCGCGTCCGTCGCGTCCGTCACGTCCGCGACTGGGTGAGACGCTCAGGTTGGATCATTGGTCTTCAGCAGCAAAAGCTGCGCGGAGAAAGAATGGTTTGGGCCCCAAGGATCTGGGATGTACGTCGTACGTTGGAACACCCATTCAAGGTATAGATCACAACGACCTTTGGAAAGCGCCCAAAAAAGAAAGACCAAGAGAGGTTGACTTTCCTTTGCCACGTATTATATATCCAGGTTATATAGATCCATTTGAAACTATCTTTGTTTGTTCACCTTTAAGGTCCTCACATGTGCCGAGGCGAAAAGCCCACGAGTCTCACCGTGCGGGGCCCAGATGAATGGATCCTGTGATCTGAGTCCGGAGTCACCGGTGGCCATCTCTCCTCACCGACCTCATAGAAGGGACATGTCCATAGCAAGGCCTAGGAAGTTCCTCCTTGGACCTGGGATGGCTTGTGATATATGGTTTGATTTCATATCATATTATTTATTATGTGTTAATTGTTCAGATATATAGATGTTCAGATAACCTGGCCAGAACTGATTCCACCCAACATGGGAAGTTGTAGCGTGCACATAGGATTAAGTGACCACTCCCTATTACTCCCAGCTCGACCCCCCCCAATACTATTAACTAATTCAAAACCTAGATTTCCACCGTGGCATCCCCCTAATAATATTTTTCCCGGGCAGACACCTTCCCCTATAAATGCATCCCAGCTGCCCCCCAAAATAGAAATACAGTTTATTTATAGTTCTTTTATTTTATTCATCCATCATCAGGTCCAGGTCCTCATCTCATCATCCATCATCAGGTCATCATTTTTATTAAGGGGATGTGGTCCTCCAATACCTCCAATCTCAGACCTTGTTGACCTTGAAGGGGGGGGTCCGGGTTGATGAATCCGGTGTTGACCTTTGATCTCTAACTCACACCTTTCAGCTGACAAGGCTTTCACCACCACACCGGCCATCGGTCTGTCGATCGACCGAGCTCGGATCCCCTGCAGGTGCCAGGGCCTGGGCCTTGGCGACGTGATCCGAGCGATGTCGCGGCTCAATGGCTTTGGAGACGTGGAGACCTGGAGAGAATCTTTGGGTGGAGCCATTTCAATCCGCTTTCACGATGTTCATTGCGGATTGGGTGAGACCCCCGTGAGACCCACCTCAAAGAACGGGATGATGAGGACTACCAAAGGGTTCCCTACTTGGAAAAGAGATGCACTGAAGCCTGGCTTCGTTGCTGAGATACGACAAGTGAAGCCGGCCACGGATATGTCAGCGCCATCGACCATGAGCCTTGGCATCCGTCCCGTTCTGCAGGTCGTTGATTTGTTCATTCTTCTCTATTGACTCCCCGACATCCCCCAACCTGTTGTGCTACGTGAGTCTCGATTGAAGTGTATCTCCAACTTGGTTCCGGTTTCTCCTCACCAAACGTTATGGCAGGGGCATGTCCGTGAACACGGCAGTGCTGTGACCGTCCGACTCAGGAAGATGGACCATTTCCGCAGCAATCTGAAGAAGGTGGGAGAACACTGAGCGCGAATTTCGGGCAGTAGCAGTAGTTTCATTGGTAGTTTTTGGAGTTTACCACTGCCCACGTGCTCCCCTTGAGCTTTGCCCATCCACCAGAAACGACGCACGGGACGACCACCGTGGGCCGGCGGACAGCGGTTTGGCGCTAGACTTGAAGGTTCAATGCGGCAGAGATGCCCTCAGTAAGCAGGTTTTCGTAGTCTCAAAAGCTTCGATGATCTTCGAATTCATCAGATCATCCCCTGATCGCATGAAACGAAATGGCCGGAAATTTCCAAAGGGATTGCCGATCAGGTCTGTGATAGCTCCGGGGCTTTGACAAGTCTGATTGGCCGCGGGATTGGAACCCAGGCCGCAACACGGGCGCCAGGAACGATTGCTCGAGGACCGCTACATGGAGATTGATAGGCGCTGGCACCGTGGGTGCCAGTTTGGGTGAGGGAGCTTCAGGCGCTTCTGTTGAGTTTGGTGAGGCTTATGGATGACGGAGAGGACCCTCACCCTCACCCTCCCATCCCGAATCCAGCTGGGCGTTTCTCCCTCCGACGTGCGCGACTGGTCGCTGTGTTACGGCTCCCTGGACTGCCTTGGTGAGGCAAAACCGAGTGCTTCTCAAACGGATGCTGGGGTGCTCAGATGGAGCCCTGCGAGCTGGGAGCTGACTCCCACCCGGCTCACTGGACAAAGGTTGTGCCACAACTTGGCCTGTTTGCCATGCAGACTCTTGGCCACAGCTTCTTGTGGGGCCTTTGCCCTAGCTTATGCACTGAAGCCTCCGCACACTCCTGAGCACTCACCAGGTCGGAGGCCATGCGAAAGCCCGGGATCTTGGAAGAGAGCTTGGCCCCAGTGCAGCCTGTACTACTATATCACACTAACTCCTGGCAGGATCTCAAGATTAGAATCACTTTGTCAGCCTAAGCCGCTTAGGCCCTCCTGTCATTTTCGATGATCCACACAGTGCCACACCTTTTTCACATGGTGAGGCCAAATCCGTATGTGGTAGAGAAGAAGGAGGCAGCTCCACCCTCGTTGCAGCCTGGCAGCAGTGGATTGTTGGACTTAACCGTCAGTCCATCAGGGCAAACTTAGAGATCATTGACGGATAAAAAGCCCCTGCGGCTACTGGCAGTTCGTCCAGTTTTATCAGTAGCTGGTCCTGCTTTGGGGAGCCAATAATGACAAGTACTGTATGTGCATGTAAAAGACTTGACAAACAATGTAATACTATAACTATAACTATAATATCAATATCACACTATAGTGCATGCTACTCAATTATTTATACTGTACATGTGCCAACAGCATTCGGTTGATATCCGGAACTCCCTTCCATGTCAAGCTTGGCGTGTGCGACGAAGACCGCATGGAGCTCGCGCTCGCACGTGCCGAGGAATAGATCCGGTAGGAAGATGGAGATGGTCAGGACCATTGGTGGTCTTGCGGAGCAGTTCTGCAGCAGTTGGCAGATAGCTGTCTACTGGAAGTTCCGCTGTCCTCCGCTTAAAAGGAAGGCGCTCCGCTTCAGCCTGTTCTGGGGAGCCTCTGAACCCCACTGTAGAAAGGTGGTACGGCTGGAGTGACTCTGAGTGGCAAGGGCTGTGAGAATGCGTAGGACTCACATCGGTTTTTCAGTCTTTCACTTGGAGTCAACAAAGTTGGATGTTGGCATACGCAGGATCACCAAGGACAATGCGCGATTGTTGAGATCCATCCAGAAGGCGCGATGGTCGGCAGGCCTTCTCGCTTTCTGTCGCTGGAGGGTCTGTCAGGTTTCTGCCGGGTGGAAACGAAACTGCCAAGATGTATAACAGGTGTGTGATTTTTTATCCTCATTGTCCTTCCATTGTGTGGACCAGAGTCGAGACCAGTGAGGTGCATCAGGTCAAGACGGATTTGGTGCTGCAGGGCCTAAGGTGCATCATCATGGAGTTGGCCCGTCAAAACCAT